CGACACCTGGATAAATTCTGTTTGTTGTTGTTGTTTTGTTGTTGTTGTTTTTTTTTTTGAGAGCTAGGATTTTGCTATGTTGCCCAGGCTGGTCTCAAGCTCCTAGGCTCGAGCAATCCACCCCTCTTGTCCTCCCAAAGTGCTGGGATTACAGGCATGAACCACCACACCTAGCCCCTCTGAAGAGTTTTAATTTAGTTTAATCAGAGTGACATGATATGAGTTTAAAAAGCCCACTCTGGAAGCAGGATGTAGAATGCATTGGAGGAGAGATCAGGGATTTGGAAGGATATTACAATGAATGGGATAGGACAGCATGATGGTGACTTGCACTGGGGTGATGTCAAGAGAGGCAGAGAGAAGTAAACGGATTTGAGATACATTGTGGGGGTAGAATTGACTAGACTCAGAATAAATGAGATGTGGAAACGACAGAAAGTGAGAGATCAAGATGACCCCTTGGTTTCCAGGTAGACATTGGGGTTGTTTACTGAGATGAAGAGGATCAAGAGGCAGTGGGGAAAGGGAAGATCAGAGGGGAAATTATCTAGATTTTCTTTCTTTCTTTCTTTCTTTTTTTTTGGATGGGTTTTCGCTCTTGTGGCCCAGGCTGGAGTGCAGTGGCACGATCTCAGCTCACTGCTACCTCCGCCTCCTGGGTTCAAGCGATTGTCCTGCCTCAGCCTGCCAAGTAGCTGGAATTACAGGTGCATGCCACCACGCCTGGCTACTTTTTTATATTTTTAGTAGAGACAGGGGTTTCACCATGTTGGCCAGGCTGGTCTTGAACAACTGACCTCAGGTGATCCACCCACCTCAGCCTCCCAAAGTGCTGGGATTCCAGGTGTGAGCCACCGTGCCCGGCCGAAATTATCTAGATTTTCATTTGGAGACATGTTACGTTTGAGATGTCTGAGAAATAGCCAAGTGAAGACCTCAGAGACAGGGTGAGTATGCAAGTCTGGAGCTGAGCAGAAAGTTCTGAGATAGACATTTAAATGTGAAATCATTAGCACATACAATACCATTTAAATCTATGTGGACAGATCAGACCACTTAGTGATTTAAAAAAAAAGAAGCACCAAGACCCAATCCTGAAAAACTTTAACATTTAGAGGTCAGATAAGGACGAAAAACCTGGCGAAGCAGAGAAAAATGAGAAAGAATGGTCAATGAAGTAGGAGGAAGCCCAGAGAGAGTGGTGTCATGGAAGCTGAGTCAGGAAAGTGCATCTGTGACAAATGCAAGCGGCAGGTCGAGATGAGTGCAGAGAAGCATCTGCCGGGCTTGGTAATGCAGTGGCCTGTGCCTTGTTATTAGGAGCAGTACCACTGGGGTGCTAGGGACTGAGAATTATTTCTCATTCCTTTATTGCTAGAAGCAAGTTATGCTGAACATCCATCCTAAACTTGAAAGTCAAATAAATGTGAGAAGGGTTTCCAAGGGAATCTTGCATCTTGCCACTGCACCAGCTGAGTTTAATTTCCCAGGAGCCCAGTCTTACCCACCTCCTCCCCATGCCTGCAGCTCTGGCTGCCAGGATGCCAATATCTTTAACTCCAAACAAACCATGAATTGTACCCTTGGACCCAAATGACAACCTTTTTTAAAACGCTGCTTGTCTTTGCCTTTTCTTTAACACGATGATGGTCGAATCTCTCATCCACCACCACCAGCTCATTTATTTTAATAACTATATCCACAATGAAAACAGGAGTAGTATTATAGAAAGGGATAAAGTCCTCACCATCATAGTACAAATGACTAGGACTTTTCAAATGACTATGGACAGGAAAAACAAAAGAAAAAAAAAATATATATATATATATGTATCAAGCCACTAGATGGAAGTCTTCATTCAACTGGCTGTGCATATTCAGAAAAGTAAAGCGGGATCAGTGCCAGACTGCACAAACCCATCAAATTCATTCGACATTCATTGAACAACTGCTTTGTACAAAGACAAGTAACAATGATGATAATGGCTACAATTCATGCAATACTTACTCTGTGCCAGGCAGTCTGCTGAGTCACACATACATGGAGTCTCACACACCTTGGCTCATTTCATTCTCCCAGGGGGAGGGGAGTATTATTATCTTCATTTTATGGGGGCGGAAACCAAATCTTAGAGTGACTTACTCTAAGCAATTGGCCCATGCGAGTGAATGGAGGAGCCAGGTTCCAGAATAAGAAAACACTATCATTGTCTACAAAGTGTTTGTACGAAATGTGGTAAGAGAGGGATAATGTGCCACAGGGGTGGGCTGTGACTCTGATGCAGGAACCAGCCAAGCAGGGAGGAAGAGAATCAGCAAAGGCCCCACCATGCTCTCGACGGCTCAGGATGCAACGGAGGGGTCACCCCTGATTGTTTTCCCTCACTCTCCCCACAACTACTGCACCACCAAGAACCGACTGTTCTATCCCCCAAATGCATCTTAAACCAGTCCACCTTTCTCCACCAATCCTATGATTACATCATTCATCAAGGCCACCATCATTAATAAGATGGGCTCCCTGGACCATTGCAAGAGCCTCCCGACTGGTCCTTTGGCATCTTCTCCTGCCTCCTCCAATCCTCCTCCAATCCTCCCTTCCCACAGTAGTCAGAGGTTCCGCTTAGTACACAGATCACCTCTGTACCCTGCTTAATCCCTGTCAAAGGCTTCCCAGAAAATCTCAACTCCTTTCCATTTTGTCCAAGGCCTTCCCTCTATGATCTGGTCTTGTCTACCTTTTTAACCTCATCTCCTACAATAGCTGCTGGTTTCTCAACAAACAGGACAGAGCCTGGCATAAACAGTAATTATGTGCTGAAGAAATTAAGGCAAGAATCAATGAGTAAAGAAATAGAAAAGCTCCGTGGGGAAGCTGTGTTTGAAATGAGCATTATACCGGAGCAGGCTTTCTCAGACAGTGAGGGCTGGGACGGGCGAGGCAGTGAAACAAGTTGTTCTCCATGGAGGCAGCAGGTGCAAAGGCACAGAGGGATTCCAGGTGCAGCAGGGAGGCAGCCTGAGCAGGCCTGGGGGCAGGGCCACGTGAAACCAGGGTTCGCAAGGTTGAGTATGCATCGTAAGCCCCTGGAAAGTTTGCTGAGATGCAAATTGTTAGGACCCACCTCCAGAGATTCTGATAGGTCCATCTGAAACAGGGGCTGAAATGTGCATTTCTCACAAGTTCCCAGGTGATGCTGCTGCCGCTGGTCCAGGGCCCACACTGAGAACCACTGGTGCAAAGTACAGTTGGTCCTTCACATCCATGGGTTCCACATGCATGAATTCAACCAACTGTGGATCAAAATGTTTTTTAAAAAATAGATGACTGCATTTATACTGAACATGTGGGCTTTTTTGCTTGTCATTATTTTCTAAATAACATAGTAAATAACAACTATGTACATAGCATTTCCATTGTATTGGGTATCACAAGTAATCGTGAGATGATTTAAAGTATATGGAAGGATATGTGTGTAGGTTATATGCAAATACTACATCATTTTATATAAGGGACTTGAGCATCCATGGGGCACTGGAACCAAGCCCCCACAGATACCAAAGGACAACTGCACATATATATGGGTTTTCTATAAGCTGTAATTTTTGAGGGTGGGAATTATTACCTTAAAAGAAGGATATAAATCACTATTTTAAGTCATTATTAGTCCTTTGATACTTAAATGTGAATGAGTTGCAAATTCTTTATCAACCAGAAGGAGAACTCCAGGCACCAGAGGTGAGAGACAGGAGTGATTAAGAACTAGGAAAGGGAGAGACCCTAGTCTGCCTGCTCCCCAGTGTGCCCCAGGGCCAGGCTGGAACAGAAAAGATTAGCTTTGCTAGTGGGAAATTCAATGAAAATGGCAGGGTGTGGTGGCTCACACCTGTAACCCCAGCACTCTGGGAGGCTGAGGTGGGTGGATCATTTGAGGTCAGGAGTTCGAGACCAGCCTGGCCAACATGGTGAAACCCTGTCTCTATTAAAAATACAAAAATTAGCCGGGCGCAGTGGCACCTGCCTGTAATCCCAGCTACTCAGGAGGCTGAGGCACAAGAATTGCTTGAACCTGGGAGGCGGAGCTTGCAGTGAGCAGATATTGCACCACTGCACTCCAGCCTGGGCAACAAAGCAAGAAGACACTGTCTCAAAAAAAAAAAAAAGAAAGAAAGAAAAAAGAAATTCAATGAAATGAAACAAAATAAGACAGTCACACTGGAGCAAAGGGAGAGCACAGTTACTTTCTTCCCATAGCTGGGACTTGGCTCCACCCCACGGGCTTCCCCTATCAGAGCCTTCAGCTCACCATGTATATATACATAAAGGAGTTTCTCAGGTTGAAGGCAGGACATCCCCCAATCCCTACCTGTGGGAAATCCTGAGAGGCTTAGGGATTCAAGTTTGAAAAACCACTCCTCAAGGCTCCATGAACCCCTAAACTATATGCACAATGTTTATGTTGATGTGTCCATTTTGGGGGAGACAAAACTCTAGAGCCACGCTGCCCAATACAGTAGCCATGGGCGGCCACCGTGCTGGACAGTGCAGACACAGAGCATTTCCACCATCACAGGAAGCTCTCTCAGCACTCATCTAGAGCTTTCACCAGCCCTCCAAAGGCATCCATGACCAGAAATTTTAAGAGCTGCTAGGCAAAGCCAGTGAAACTTCATCTAAGGAGCCAGACTCTGCCCTGGAGATATGAAAGCTCGTCTCTGTGACAGAGGCTGTGAACAAGTCTGCCTTCGAATAGTCTTTTTATGCCAAAAACCCCACTCTGAAAACTCTTAGAACATATCCAGATTTTATACCTTATTATTTATATCCCACCACCTTGACCATTGTCCCAAAGAGAGGGACACCTTAATTCCACAAATATTTGCTGTAAGAAAGGTTCTCTGAGGTCCCCCAGAGCCTCTGTGCCTAAGACAAGTCATGGTGGTGAGTGATCTTGATGCTGTCAGTGACTTTGTCTCCTTTGGTGTCTGTGATCGCTCTAGGTAGGCGAGGCAGTCTTGGAAAATGCCCGGCTCATGCTACAGACAGAAACTATCCAGGCGGGAGCAGATGACTTTAAAGAGAGGTAATGCCTTACAGCAGAGGGGACAGTCCCTCCACATCCCTAGGCTCCTGGGCAGTGTGGATAATGCTGTTCTGGAGCCTGCATCATCCACCTTCTACCTCAGGGAAGGCTGGCAGGATAACAGCACCATGATTATCCGGCTCACACCCCTCCTTGTAGACACAAACTAGGCCCCAAGGGCTCAAAGATTGTGCCCACTGTCAGTTGGTTTAGAGCAGGGTTCTCAAACTCTGGAATGCTCAGAATCACCCAGGGGCCATACAGAAAACACAGATTGCTGCGCCCCACCCTGTTGAGTTTCTGATTTAATGGGTCTGGAGAGGGGCCCCAAATTTATATTCCTAGCAAGTTCCCAGGGATGCTGATCCTGCTGGTCCTGGGACTCAAATACCTTGAGAACTACTAGTTTAGAGTAATGATTCTCAATCCTGGCTGCAGATCAGAATTACCCAGGCACGAAAAAACGTCAGTGCAGTGCACAAGCTATAGACTAATCAAATCAGAGTCCCCAGGGGTGGGGTCCAGGCTTCAGCAGTTTTAGAGCTCACCAGATGACTTAATGTGCATCCAGGCTTGAGAACATGCTCCGCTTCACCTCCCACTCAGTCCCTGAAGGCATCTGGATTGGCAGCCACTGTCCTGCAGATGGACACTTTTAACATGGGTGCTTTGGGTCCCCAGCCTGGTGCTTAGCAGGTTGTCGGTAATGTTTGTTAAAGGATCCTTGGTTGAAAAGGAGGACCATCAGGATGGAGATGAAGATGCCGGATCCCCTAACCTGGATCTGAACTCCTGAGATTTCCCTGGAGCTCTGTGCTTCAACACTCCCATGAGGCTGGTAGCCCGTGAAGCCAGGTTATCAGAAGTTGGCTGCAATTGCCTTCATTTTAGTAAATCAATGTATGACAATTGCACTAACAGTGCCCTCAAACCTATTGAAACAGTGACTTGTACCATTCATTGTCTAACCATCACATAACTGGCCTGTTGGTAACATTTATAATCCTATTCTTTTCCTTTTGGGCTACCCAGTTATGCTGATTAAGTTCCTTTATCTGCAGATATGAAAATGAGCTGCCATTTCGAAAGGCGGCAGAAGAGGAAATTAATTCTCTGTATAAAGTCATTGATGAAGCTAATTTGACTAAAATGGACCTGGAGAGTCAAATAGAAAGTCTGAAAGAAGAACTTGGCTCTCTATCAAGAAACTATGAAGAGGTAGGAAGGGACTGGGGTTGCTGGGTTGGCCACAAGACCAGAAGTGCACATCTGTCTGCCTGTGCTTCAGAACAAGGCCACAGTAGCTCATCTCTGACTCTCCGCATTGCGTGCCCAGGACTGCAGGGAACATGCCTGTAAAATACTTTCAGATCCTTCTAGTGCGTCAGATTACCCCAGCAGTCTCAGACTCAAATAGCTTCAGGAACCAGTGTGGTGCAGAAACAGGGGAAGGCAGCCGGTCTTGGCACTAGCAAATGAGGGAACTTGGGTTAAATTAGAGGGAGCAACCCCCCTCAATACATTCTATGTCAGGTTTTGTTTTTTGTTTTTTGTTTTTAACACTGTATTATACAAACAAAATAACTCTGAGGGTAGATCCAAGCTGTGGTTGACATCTACTCATTAACAAAATTGGGTCAGATCATTGAATGACAGAACTGAAGAGGACCTCCAACAGTTATGGGGTCTAGTTCCCTGCAAGACTTAAGTGATTCCAAACCACCTCACGCATATTATTGTCTGATCCGAGATTTAGGCTGCGTCAAGTTGGAAGAGTCAAAACCCACTTAACAATGCTCACACTGGTAAGTTCTTTCTTGAGTCCAACTCAAGCTAACCAGCAACTGCAAGCCCATTTCTTCTTGTTCTTAGCTCAGTGATTTAAGACTACTCTCCAACAGTAACCCTTTAGAGATGCCAAAGTTATCTTTTAAGTCTCTTTCTACCTTGTCTGACTTTATGCCTAAATTCGCTTTGCTGTTGTTGCTTACTTTGTTTTTGTTTGTTTATTTATTTTTATTTCTGCTTTGGGCCTGGGCTTGGGGAGACCAACCTAAGAAATGCATCCTTGGTGCTAGGCATGGTGGCTCAAGCCTGTAATCCCAGCTCTTTGAGAGGCCAAGGCAGGTGGATCACTTGAGCCCAGGAGTTCAAGACCAGCCTGGGCAACATGGTGAAACCCTGTATCCACTAAAAACACAAAAATTAGCCGAGCGTGGTGGTGTGTGCCGTGCCTGTAGTCTCAGCTACTCAGGAGGTTGAGGTAGGAGGATTGTTTGAGCCCAAGAGGTGGAGGCTGCAATGAGCTGAGATCATGTCACTGCACTCCAACCTGGGTGACAGAGTGAGACCCTGTCAAAAGAAAGAGAGACACAGAGAGAGAAGAAAGAAAGAGAGAGAGAGAAAGAAAGAGAAAAAGAGGGAGGGAGGGAGAGAGGGAGAGAGAAAGAGAAAGAGAAAGAAAGAAAAGAAAGAAGGAAAGAAAGAAAAAGAAAGAAAGAGAAGGAAAGAAAGAAAAGAAAAGGGAGGGAGGGAGAGAAAGAAAGAAAGAAAGAGAAAAGAAAGAAAAAGAAAGAAAGAAAGAGGAAAGAAAGAAGGAAGGAAGGAAGGAAGGAAGGAAGGAAAGAAAGAAAGAAAGAGAAATGCATCCTTGGGAAAAGAGAAATTACACTTATGCTGGGAAGAAGGTCAGGGACTTTCCCAGTCTCTGTGAAGCCTGTGTCTGGCAGTTGTGGAATGACGGGAGAATTGCCCACAGAGCTGGTTTTCGCTGACTAGAGTTCTATGCCATTTATCTCCCCCTGTAACTCACCTAAGATGTATCTTGTCGTTTTCAGGATGTGAAGGTGCTGCATAAACAGTTGGCAGGATGTGAGCTGGAACACATGGATGTGCCCATTGGCACTGGTCTGGATGACATCCTTGAGATGATCAGAATTCAGTGGGAGAGAGATGTTGAAAAGAACCGAGTGGAGGCAGGAGCCCTGCTCCAAGCTAAGGTGAGACGCAAGACCAGCATCCTCCACTGTGCCCTGCGCAGAAGGAGGCCACGCTGAGCTGAAAACTAGTCAATGTGCAAAAGAAGAAATAACAATGGTTTAGTAACAAGTTCAACTGCATTAGAAACAGGAGAAACGAAAATTAAAATAATAGCTTTTTGTTTACCTATCTAAAAGTAGAAAATGTTTAAAATGGTAATAATGCTGGCAAGCATGTGGAGAAGTAGTTTCTCTACTGTATTACTGAAAAGCACAAACTAGCGCACTGCCTTTGAATAAGAAATGTAGTAATATGTACCAGGAGGAGTGTCAAAATGCCTCTAGCTACCAACTGAATAATCTGAATACAAACCCAAAAGAATAATTGAGGCCGGGCACGGTGGCTCACGCCTGTAATCCCAGCACTTTGGGAGGCTGAGGCAGGTGGATCACGAGGTCAGGAGATCGAGACCATCCTGGCTAACACGGTGAAACCCTGTCTCTACTAAAAATACAAAAAATTAGCCAGGCGTGGTGGCGGGCGCCTGTAGTCCCAGCTACTCGGGAGGCTGAGGCAGGAGAACGGCATGAACCTGGGAGGCAGAGCTTGCAGTGAGCCGAGATTGGGCCACTGCATTCCAGCCTGGGCAACAGAGTGAGACTCTGTCTCAAAAAAAAAAAAAAGAAAGGAATAATTGAAAAAACAAATCATCTATGTCCAAATATACTCACTGAAGCATTGTAAGAGTGAGAAAACATACACATGTACTAATAGAAGAAAGTGTAAGCCACAACCTACCTGTGTGCCGTAAAATATCAGGTAGTTATTAAAATTAATGCTTATGAAGCATTTATAAAACAGGAACATGCTCATAATATAAGGTACAATGAGGAGAAAATGAGAGTACAGAATGGTATATGCCAGAAGCCTAAAAATATTTTCTGTAAAGGACCAGACAGTAAATATTTCAGGCTTCATGGGTCAGATGGTCTCTGTTGCAATTCCTCAGCTCTGCCACTGCAGTGTGAAAGCAGCTGTACCCAATAGGTAGCAAATGAGCATAACGATGTTCCAATAAAACTTTATTTATAAAAATAAGAGGTGAGATGGATTTGGCCTGTGGACTGCAGTTTGCCACTTCCTGGTATATACAACAGGGTAAAGCATTCAAACAAAGAAACTAGGCATTGAGAAAAAAATTTTAGAAAGAAAAGACTAAAATGGGATTAGCAGTAGTTGCCTTTGAGTGATGGATCAGTCTGACACTTTGAGATGTTTTTTCTTTTTTGTTTTTGAGTATTTCTCAAGTTTTTGCTAAATAGTATACATTATATTCATGGAAGAAAAACAACTTTTATTAAACCTCATAAATAATACAGGAATTAACCAGAAAATAGGATGCATAGGATTTGTTCTTCCCTTCTCCGTCTCCCACCTGTTTCTGACTTTGTAATCTTGAGACAGAGGATGAAAAGTGAAGAGGAAGGAAAATGTGAAAAGGTAGAGAAAATAAGGTAGATGTCTGGGTGAAGGCAAACGCTATGTCTGAGCTCTTGGTTACCATTTAGTAGTTCTTGATCCTGGCTATGCAGCTGAATTATTTCAGAGCATTTTCAAAACTTGCCATCCCAGACCAATTAAATCAGAAGGAGGAGAGGGACTCTGTGATTTTTAAAGCCCTCTGAATGATTCTAATATGCAGCCAGATTTGAGAACCATAAGAATTATAAAAAGCTATGAAAAGAAAAATAGCAGAGCCTTTTCTGTGCTTCCTCCCACCATACTCCCTCTATCCCCCAAGTATCAACAGCAAGCTTTCCAGCAGGGTCTTCATCAATTCTGGAACCCCCAAATGTTCTCCAGCCTGGAAAACATCCTTTCACTCACCCATTTCTCCAACTCCTACCCTGTCTCAGTAGCTTCCTTTCTTTCTAACCACCAATCCTTGAGCCAGGTCACTACAACACTTTTTAGGGCAAATAGTGCCTAGTTACTCAAAAAACGACTTCCCCTCACCCCACCCAACCTGATGAGAAGTGGAGCAACACAGAGGTAAAGTGAAGCCATAGATTTGACTTGGGTCCATTGCCTTTTTTAACAGACTCATGACTGATAACAGATCATTAATGGTCCTAGAGACCATCTGATCCCAGTCCCTAATTTTAGGGGTGAGGAAACTGCGACCCAGAGAGTGCAGGTGACTTCACGAGATCACACGGCTGGTTGAGAGCTCCATAGTTCAGCTCTCCTGTTCTTGGTCCAGGGACCTTATCTCTGCATTGGGCTGCATCGTTTCTCCCCTGGCTCTGCTCCCAAAGCTAAACCTCAGAGGCCTAGCAGTTTGCAAACTTTGCTTCTGTGCCAGTCCTCCTGGGATGTGCACCACACTGTGGTGACTGTTTCTTTGGGAAAGGACAGACCATTATAATTATCAGAAATAAATCCTTCATAGTTTAAAAAAGAAAAAAAAAAAAAGGTCATTATTATCTCCTCCTCACCCCTTGGAGAATCATCACTAGCCCAACAGTAACTCAAACATTAATTCCGAACAGATTCATTAGTGTTTTTTTTAATAGAGTAATCTGAAAGCTACGTCTCAGAGAAAACAGACAGTATTTGTTTTAGCTTGGCCAATGCTGCCTGGGCCTCTTACAGAGAGGCAGAGCTCAGAAAATATTTGCAGAATGAGTGAATTCCTCTAATCATCAACAGAGATCTGAACTGACAGCCAGAATTCCTCCAATAAATAGTTTTGTCAGTTGCAGTTGTGCCCTCGGGGGCTGACATTTGCCCATCGTGAGCATCTCTTGTCGGTTTCTTGGCGGCAAAGCATAAATGTGAAATGGCTTAACATACACAGCTTTCAAAATCTTTTGTAAAGAAAATGCAGGCATGCATTTCATTAGACCAGAGAGGCTGCAAATTAATTAACATGATTAATTTATATCTTAGTTTAGGTTCCTTCAGAAGCAGATCCCGAAACAAATATTGGAGTTAAGGTAGTTTACTTGGAAATTGGAGAGTTAAAAACCAACAAAATACCAGTAGAGGAGAAGCAAAGAAGGGAACCAACAAAGAATGCATAATCAAACCAGTTACCACTGTGGGACACTGATGTGTAAACCAAGAAGAATTGTGAGAAATGGTATAGAATACGGGAGAGGGGAAAGGCGAGGGAGCTGAGATGTTAATACCATCTCCCAACAGTCTTCTGCCATCTGCTATCAGAGTGGACTTCCAAAGGCTTCAGAGAAACTCTCAGGGAAAAAGACGCAAAATCTGGCAGGGAGAACAGGAGAGCACTAAACTGTGAAAGCCTAAGGGATAAAGGCGAACCATCAGCATCTGCTAGAACTTATCTGCCAATTCTGTTTATTTTTTCAGTCATTAAAAGCTTAATAAAATAGAGACATAAAAAAACTTATTAAGGGGTTCTTGCTAAGGTCAGTGCAGTAATCATATTCTTTCCAGCCATGGCGTTATGAATGTCAGGAACCTCATGGTCCAGTTTTTGGAGCTTCTGAAGTTGTATGATTCAGTGATGACAGAATCAGATTGGTCCAGAGAATTTCTGGAAGGTCTCAAAGTCTGGCTCTTCTTTGTCTATTTGCTGTGGTTACCTAATGCAAGGTATTCAGGGATGCTTCAGGAACCTCAGACAACATGCCATACCACACTCCAGACCTCCTAATTAGTCATGTAAAATAAAACAACTTTTTTTTTTAAGTTGGGCACTGTGGCATGTGCCTGTAGTCCTAGCTATTCTAGAGGCTGAGGCAGGAGGATTGCTTGAGGCCAAGAGTTCAAAGGAGAAGTACACTATGATCATGCCTATGAATAGCCACTGTACTTCAGCCTGGGCGACATGGTAAGACCTCATCTCTTTTTTAAAAAATCCTTTTTGTCCCCTATACTCTCACAAAATGCTTCTGACACCAAATATGTAGGTTTGTTCCACACCAAGCAGCCCTCCAAACACCAACTGGGTGTCCTATAATTCAATTCAATCCTGACACTACCTGCCTGGAGTTAGCATCCGATCCCACAGGGTAAGGGCTCAGTCCCATAAGATGGCCCTCACTTCAGATGACAAGTCTGGCCTTCCCATACTACTGATGAACTACTATAAATTAGGGGTTCCCACGACCTCCTCTGCAGAGGGATAAGTAGATAGTTTGTTAGAACAGTGCCCAGAACTCAGGGAAACACTTTACATATTTTTGCCAGCTTATTATAAAGGAACAGTCAAATGGAAGAGATGCTTAAGGCAATGTATGTGAGAAGGGGCACAGAGCCCCCAATTCCAGTTTTATGACTCTATTATAGTAACACTTGGCTTAAAATGCAAGCATGTCATACAGCTATACAAAAATATTTTTTCTTTTATCCTTATTCTATAAGCTTGTTTTCTATTTTTAAGAGGGTTTTTTTTAACCTTTTAAACATTTTTTTGTTCAAAACTGAGACACATACATACACATTAGCCTAGACCTACACAGGGTCAGGATCGTCAGTATCACTGTCTTCTACCTCCACATCTTGTCCCACTGAAAGATCTTCAGGGGCAGTAACACGCATGGAGCTGTCATCTTCTGTAACAACAATGCCTTCTTCTGAAATTCCTCCTGAAGGACCTGCCTGAGGCTGTTTTATAGTTAACTACTTTAATTTTTTAATAAGTAGGAGTATACTAATGATAAAAAGTATAGATATAGTCAATACATAAACCAGTAACATTTACTATTATTGCCAAGTGCGATGCACTGCACATAATTGTATGTGCTAGACTTTTATATGACTGGCAGTGCAATAGGTTTGTTTACACTGCATCACCACAAGGTCTCACAAAGCTGCAGTCAAGGTACCCACCAGGGCTGCGTTCTCATCTTCAGAGTTTATTCGGGTTCTTGGCACGATTCAATCCCTTGCAGATGTCAGATTGAGGTCCTCAACTCCTAGAGGCCAGTCCTCCTCAGAGGCCATTTACAACGTGGCTGTTTGCTCCTTCAGGGCCAAAAGA